AAACACATTTCATTACACCAAATACACAAAATAATGTTCTTTTTTAGCAACGTCATATGACTCCTTTAAGGGTTTACACACTTGCTGTCAGTTTACTGGACAAACCTCTAAGCAACAACTCAAGCAGACATGCTATACTTTACCGTCCCTGATGGGCAATCTGTCGAGATCTCAGCAGCGCTACACACTTCCAGTGTCACACAACAACAACACGAGCAATATCAGCACCATACAGTTCGACACATCAAGTTGAGTTAGTGTTTGCAATACATGCCAACTCCGCGATTAATAGTGTGTGCCCCCTCCTCCTCAGACAGCAGAACTCATTTCAGATAATATGATGAGGCCTTGAGGAAGCGGAACTGACTGAACTAATCAGGAGCTTGATGAGGAGTTGACAAGTTGAAGCCACAGTGACAGACTGAATTAGATGCAAAACAGCTTGCAGACAGTGGATTTGTTATACAGCAGCCATCTAGAACCGCAGCAAACACATATTTATCTGCCATAGATTTATAAAGAAATCTTGTGAAAACCCATCAAGAACATGTCTGGGACAGGGAAAATACCCAAAAAATATAAGAAAAAAAAAGTAGCAAGAAACTATATTTTGCTAAATAAATTAAAGCCTATTTTTAAAATCATAAAGATTTTTTCCCCATTGTGACATGTTCATGACAATTAGTTACATTTGACCGCCAAAATTCTCATTATTGTAATTCAAAAATAAAAAATGTTATAAAAGTATTTTTTATAAGTTTAAATATTTATACTTTGTTGTGGTTATATATATATATATAAATAAAATCAAGAGAAACAAGAAACTATATTTTGCTTAAAGCCTTTTTTTTTTACGTAACATTTTTTGACATTTTCCTGCCATTTAAGCCCCAAACTCTCATTATCATAAAACATTGTCATTTTTATTTCTGTAATGCAAAAATTTAAACTGTTATAAAAGTAATATTTTATAATTGGGGTGAAATGTTTGAACATGTTTTCATGAAATTAAACCATATATTGATCTATAAAAACAATAAATACTTTACATTACAAAAAATGTTGGAACCATCATAGCACTTTAGCTGGAGTGGTCATCATTCGTCATGTCATGAGGTCAACGTTTCGATTACTGAAGTCAGTTAAACAAAGCTGTCCATTAGGGCTGTCAAAAAAATAATAATTCGAATTTCAAATATTCGTCGAATTTAAAATAAAAATCCACATTCGAATGCAAAAACATTGCATTTGAATTTCAGGTGTGCGTCAGGCAGCTTTTTATCAGTGGAGCACGAAATGCGACGACAATGCAATGTTTTTGTTAGCCTATCCAGTTGAACCCACTAGATGCGGCGCTGCTACGTTGTTCATTCAAAATATTGCAGAAAAAGAGAACAATCAATGCGGAGATGTTGTTTACGTCAAAACCGAAACCAGGCCGTTCACACCGAACGCATATTCATCGCATTTTCTAGAGGGACATCTATCAACACTGCACTCGCACGAGAGAGCGGCATGTTTAGAAAGCCATGTTAAATTAATGTAAGTTCAACTTTTAAAAAACATGTCTCGAGTCTTTATGGTGGTTTTCCCATCCCACTGCATATCAAGTTTTTAAATGAAGAAAGTACTTTTTGTGATTGGTTTTCGGTCCTTTGTATTAAACTACAGGCCTACATACATGCATGAACAAGCAACTTTATTAATTCTATATGGTTTACATACATAATTTTAAACATCATGCACTTTTTTTTTTTTTTTAAAGATAGTCGTGATATTTTATTATGCTTTGAAGAAACGTGCATAATATTTTGCTCGATGCGCCCTCTTGTGGCCTAAGGAGAGAAGCCAAAAGCGTTTTTTCCCCCCTAACTGAAATTATGCATTTTAAATTTGAATATAATTCGAATAATGATAATATTTAAGTAAAAAATTCGAATTTAGTTTTTCAGCCACTTTGACAGCCCTAGTGTCCATTCAGCTTGCTCACAGCATAGAGTCCTCAGCGCACACACAGATTTAACTCCCAGGCCCTTCGGCTTGACATTTCCTGTGGCTGGGCTCTAGCCATTGGTTGATGTGAGTCTGTCTCCATAGCTACAGCGGAGCTGCAACTAGGGAGGATAGAGCCAGAGGAGCAGAGGACTGCCAGCCAAGTGACAGACAGCTCTCTGAGGGAGTGTCAACACACCAATATAAACACACATACACACACATACACATACACACACACAGAACGCCTAACTCTGCCCGACAGCAATACACACAGTCATATTCTTGTCAGAGAACCGGCACAAAGAGCTAAAACACAAGAGGTTAAAGGTAACAGAGACAGGGGATTGTTACCTTCCTGCCAGCTAGATAACTTCATTCACTGTTCTCTTGTATTTGTAGCTTTGCTATTAGGGCTAGGTTTAAAAAAAAAAAAAAATCTGATTAATTGTGCTCTTAATTTGGACAACCTTGTATTTATTCAGGAACACTTCAGATCAGGGAACACTACACACTATTAACTAGTTGCTTATTAGCATGCATATCATTAGCATATTGGCGGTTTATTAGTAATTATAAAGCACATATTAATGCCTTATTCTGCATGACCATATTTTAGATCCCTTAACCCTACCCCATAGCTAAACTTAACAACTACCTTACTAACTGTTAAGCAGCAAATTAGGGTATTAACTTAGAGTTTATTGAGGGAAAACTCTTAGTTAATAGTGAATGTGTGTTCCCTAATCTAAAGTGTTACCATTGATTCTTTAATCCCAGGCTGATCGTTTAATCAATATTTGAAAAAAAAAAAAGAAAAAAAAAAGTCTGTGATACAGTACAGATTATAAAGAGCTCTTAAGGTAATGCATTACATTGTTATCACAACCTTATTATGTCGCATATATAATTCAGTGTGTGGATAAAAAAAAAAAAAAATGTTTGCATACTGCAAATGTCATCAAGCAATTCCATGCAGAAAATGTGCGCAATTTCACATAATAAGACAGAATTAGACACAATTTTCACAGAAACAAAAAAATAGTATGTGATACAGGACAGAATAAAGAGCTCTTAAGGTAATGCATTACATTGTTATCACAACCTTATTATGTCGCATATATAATTCAGTGTGTGGATAAAAAAAAATTATAATAATTTTGCATACTGCAAATGTCATCAAGCAATTCCATGCAGAAAATGTGCGCAATTTCACATAATAAGACAGAATTAGACACAATTTTCACAGAAACAAAAAGAGTCTGAGATTCCAAACATAGACAGATCTGCAGACATCGCTTTGCATTGAGAATGTGATATAATAATTGGCTTCCTTTCAACAAATGAACAAAAACACGGGAGCAGGTTCGCTCAGTAGCCCCTCACTGCAGAACAAAGATCCAGGGGGCGGGGTTGGATCCACATCTAGGGGGTGGAGATGGTAGGTTTAGGGGTGGAGATGGGTAGGTTTAGGGATGGAGATGGGTAGGTTTACCTTATATGTAAGGTGGAAGGAGTTGGATCTGGATCCGTGTTCTGCAGTGAGGACCATCTCGGTTCACTTAAGTCAGAACCATCAGACGGAATCCATGAATCAATACTGAATAGGCATCAGAATTAAAACAAATGCTGCCAAATGCAGTTGATGTCCTACGGGCTTATTGTTGCAAAGAAACATATATACAAGTTAATGTAAATAAATAAATAAATAAATAAATTCCCATCTGTTAAACAGTGGGTGAAAGAAACGGTAAAGTTATGACATTTAGAAAAAAATCTGTTACTTTTTTTTTTAAACATATTGGATCACTTTGATAAGATTTGGCGTGTCCTTCTCCATTATCTTGACAGCGTAGGTTGACCACCCATTGGTGTGGCATTACTTAGGGTGAGCAGGGTGTTATGGGAATAGTTTGTTCTGTGCAACAAGTGCATTAGCTTCACACTGTCCTCCTAACAGAACCCTGAAGAGAGGTGCCAAACGATTTGATGTCCCTCCTGTAGAAGCGATGTCTGAAGCATCCGTGCGTGAGGAGCGTATTAGTTTAATCTGACAGCGGTGAAGTGCATGATGGGAAGGCAGAGGGACAGCTCTTCCTGTGGGAAGACGAGCCACTGTCTGTCCAGCACACACATCCAGACTAGTGGTCGACCGATATGGGTTTTTAGACAGCCAATGCCGATATCTTGGAAAGCACGGTGGCCGATGGCCGATATAAAGCCGATATAATTGTATTTATTTTAAATAATTTGAAAATTGATTAAAAAAATAAATGTGTAAAATAAACATTCTTATACTTTAAATGACAAAAATTTTAAATTTACACCGTAACCAACAGAGCACTCAGTAATCGGGGAAGTTTGTGTGCATTGGGAATCATATTTTTTCAAATAAAGCCAAGGTAACACTCATTTTACATACAGCACACAGAGAAAATGACACGAATATGACAGTGGGCAAAAGCATGACGCGCAGCATAATTTGAAATGATGAGTTTAAAGTTAGTCGATCGCACGTCTCCAGTGAAACTGAACTCTCCTCCTGTCCATATTCAATTCACACGGACCGACCGTCCGACTGTTAACGACGACAGTGAACAGGGAGAATGTGAACACTGCGTGCGCAGGTGCTGGCGTTCTCAGCGCCGTCAAAATAAAAGTCCAGCGCACCGTCAAAATATAAGTCCCGCCTCGAAAGCATCAGCCAAACAGAAAAACGTATCGGCCGATGCCGATATTTGAAAAATGCCAAATATCGGCCGATATATCGTTCGACCACTAATCCAGACAGGCTTAGCCACAAATCATTAAGGCCTATTCACATCAGCGAGTGCGACAACATTCAGAGCGCAATGACTCTACTGTTTTTTTGAGTTTAGGTTCATATTGCAGAAATGCTGAAACAAACCCCATCGACAGTTTACATTTTACTTCCACACATTTAAGGCTATTTAAAAAGTGCCGGCTTACCTGCAGCGCCCCACTGAGCAGAGAGCGATGGGGTCTCCCACCACGGCCACCAGGGACTGCGCTCGAGTGATGGCGGTGTTCAGCAGCTTGTAGTTGGACACGAAGCCGTAGTCCAGGTCTTCAGTGGAGTCCTCCACCAGCTGCTCCTTCCTCTTAATGGCCGTCTGCTTGTGTTTGCAGGTGTGACGGGTGCGAACGGTGCTCAAGAACAGCACACGGAACTGCTTACCTACAGACAGCAGAAGCTCTGTGTAATTAGCATGTTGTTAAATGGTGCTACCTAAAGTCATCCAATACGAAATCAACATAAACTGTCATTTGAAAAATCCCTGGATGCCGGCAGAAAATATATATATATTTTTTTGAATAATGTACATTTGAAGAGTTCATTTGCAAAAACCGATAAACGCCACTTTAAAAAACCACTTTCAAGGCATCGCGAGTTCACGTTTCACTGCAGAAGTCGACAAGCGCCCTTGTTGTTTTTGAACAGAAGCCAATAAGTCAATTTCAGCGAATCAGCGCGCTGTATTCAGGCCAGGTGACAAGGCTACTTTCACTTTGAAAAGACGTGCTAGCTGAGAGGAGCTTCGTCAAAGCTGACTAAAAGTGATCGAGGATGGAAAATTTGACGAACCTGATGAACCTGAGATATCTTCTTCAGGGCGAAAAAGGAAAATAGAAGCTGAAATGTTTTCACGGAAACTTGCAAAAGCAGCGCGTTACAATGGTGAGGGAAAAGCTCCGTGTACAAACAACAACAACGTTTGTCAGGCATCTACATTGTCATCTGAGGAGATTACAAAGATTAAACGAGTGTTTTTT